ATCAGCTGATTGGATGGGCTCTCCTTCTTCAGGCAGTCCGCGGATCTCCTTCCTCAAGGACGTCTGACCAGCGACGCAGCCACTTTTCCTAGAGTTTCAGTGCACCATCAAACGTCAGCATGGGGAACAAGAGCAGTCTTATGTTGCAGGAGCAGGATATCAGGGATATTCAGGCCGAAACGGGATGTGAGTATTGTACATTTTTTTCATCAATTGAAATAGTTCTAGATGATTTTATTTCCCTTTTCTCAATTCCTAAACTGCGTACCGATACAGACACGCATGATTGCACAGTCAGTGAAACCAGTGTCTTTATTTTACAATCCTTTTATAATCTTACCATTTGGAACGGTAATGGTAGTTTTATGGTTTATCACAGTAGGAAAAAAAAATAGGGACCGAGTTAAAGGTACAGGATATCCAGGCAGGGAGTGGCCCTTTCTTCATGTGATAATGACTATCACGGATGTAGTGCATGACAGACATATTGTGTTGTCTATTGTGTGGAGTTTTGCAGGATTAACCTCGTTTCTTCACTTCTACAAAGGGAGAAGTGACTTTACCTCAATCAGATGGATTATGGTGGTCAGAGTTGAGACTAGTACTGAATAAAGGAAAGTTCTTTTATAACTTGTATAGCATTGTATTATGTAATTTTCAGGCTCTGAGGAAACACTGAAGTAAAAGTATTGAAGGTTTGCTTAAGCAGGAAATAGTTATCAGCAAATAATATAGACTCGGTATTCATGTCCTCTTATCAAATACTGTTCTAGGATCCTGTAATAACTTGAATGGATCAAGGTCGTATTAATATTGAAAGGATTCCTTGATATTTCATTGTATGTTTATATATTTTCATATCCTATTATACAAATGATAAAAACATCATTTATATGTTTCTCCATACAGCTATGAAATAGGGTACACTATTTGTATATGTATGGCTGTTATATCATTATCCAAGGTATAGTTGCCTTCACTTCCAAGGTCAGATTAACCAATCTGTAAACCACAAGTTTCAGCTCTTACACCCAGAACACATACCAGTACAAGTGGAGAGACTTCATATTGGATACTAGAGTCAAAACCAATGAGTCACAAATTGGCAAGGCTCAGATTAAAGGGATGCTAGGGACACTATGCCACTGATTTACCCCTTAAAGCTTGCATAATCAATTTCTATGAATTATCACATGTCCATAAGAAGATGAAGAGAACATGATATTCTTGAGAATGTACAACACTATCACTGAGTTTGTACCAGTGCATCTGATGGTCTTGGAGTTGTATTGCTCATGATAAGATTATAAATGAACACCTGTATCAGTGAAGTTGTATTATATTTACTATTATGGCTCTTGTATTTTAGTTGAGTGATTTGATATATGCTTACTCTACCTATTTTGATATAATTTTCACTAACCCTGCCCAATTTAAGCCTTGTACGTTACTGGTTCATAGAGATACATGAGGTGCATAACAAGTAGGTTACAGGTCTTCTGTTGCATTATAAATACACTTACTGGTTAAATCCAACAAAATGCTGAGCTAGGTTCTGGAATTAATGTCTTGGGAAACTTGATATTATGATAGTGTTATGATGGATTTAGGACTCCATTATCAAGGGATCAGCAAGATTGCAAAGCAAAGGGATAATGATAAGACAAATCCAAAGATTATGCTCATAGAAAAGTAAGAATGAGAGTGACTGCTTTCATTATGCAATTTGTGTGAATTACATTTCAAGAGTTTTCTCTTTTGTAGAATTATTCAATTATTGAAGGTGTGATGAACAATGTGAAGTAGACATTTTGTTTTGTAAATTTATTCAACATTTGCCACCATGAACTCTATTCACATTATGTAAAAAGAACAGTAGTTCCTTACAGTAAGTTACCGTGACTGGGCATGCCCTCCAGGAACTGTCCCCCAGCACCCCCCAGAAAACATTGTCTTTACATCAGTGTGCACAGCAAGATAGAGCTGAATCTCAGGAGCACCAAATGGACATTAGCTGAGAGCAGCACTTTCCACAGTCTTTTTTACCTTTATTTGTGGTGTTACCATCCATGTCTGTAAATTATTTCTTGTACTGACCATTGCAATGTTTTGTCCTCTACAAGGATATCATATTCAATTTGCCCTAACTTAGTGTGTCCATACTGTAAAGATTAATCCAAACAACAACTGCCAAGGCTTCTTTCATTCCTACCAGAATTTGACTTTGTATAGGTTTTAATATCAAGGGTTGCTTAATGTGCACCTATAAAAGATTCATTGACTTGTCCTAGGGATAGAGTTTGAAATTTCATTTTTATCAATCTCTCAGCTTGCTTTTTTTATTTACTCTGTTTAGAGAATTCTTAATATCTAGATTTTTAGAAATAGCTCATGACACCAGTATTGCATGTGAAACTCCTTCATTACTTGCAAATGTGAGGCCAGACTGTCAATGAACCATTGGTTATATCTGGTTTTTGTTAGTTACTTGGAGTCAGTAGAGCTGAGATGGAATATTAAATAAATTGATTTCTCATAGGCCACAGTCTGATGAAGTGCTATAGCATACTATGCTGTGTTATGGACCATGACTGATATTTTGATATTACATAACAAGATGTACTTGTAGATAACATTAGCTTCATATTTGACAATCAACTTTATTTTGCTGCATTGTATCGTACATTTAATTTCCTCATTTACTGTTAATGTTATCCTTGTTGTTAGTGTTCTATGAAGATATTTTTTATTTGCAGTTTTGCCAAGCCAGATTGAACGTCTGTACAGCCGCTTCACCAGCTTGGACAAGGGAGACAATGGCTCTCTCTCAAGGGAGGATTTCCTTCGTATTCCTGAGTTGGCCATCAACCCACTTGGTGACCGAATCGTCCATGCTTTCTTTAAGGTAATTGTTGCTCTCTTTACTGGAGGGATCTTGTTTTTATGATATATAAAATCATTAATCCATTGGATCCAGATTCTTCACTTGGCCTAAAATGCATGCATTTGGCTTACTTGATCAGCCACTCTCACAGGTGCGTGGCTTTTAGACCAGGCCCTTGCAAACACTCATGTGTGGTGACATGACTCTTTGTCTTCCCTTTACAATGTTGTTTCTTTTTCTGCAGAAGCATTTGTAGCTTTTTTACCATTTCTCAATGTCCATATTTGTCATTTGATTTACATTATCCAGATGGTAAAATAGGTTTTTTTCATTGCACAGACTCCATATCATCTCTCTAAGTAGTCTGTAACTCAGTGCAAGTATAATGATAATAAGGAACATTTTGTTATTTGCATCACTTTTTATATTTTTTCATAATTGCATCTCTAGTAACGGTAGCCAGGAATAGGTTTCAGGGCATGGAAATAACTTCCACCCTGGAGGTCATGGCTCATGGACAGTACATTCCACACTAGTTTATTGAAGGAAATATTGCAAAAGCCCCTTCCTAAATACCAAATAAGTCAAATCACTCCAGAGGTTTGTGCACTTATGGCAAGTCTTTGTCACCCTGGTCTTCAGCCAAAATGCCCATGAGGATAAGTTTATGTCACCCACAGCCAGATATCCCCATGAGAGCATGTTCATGTCACCCTCTCCAAAAGCCAGATTTTTTCATGCCGTGATGGTCATGTCTTCTAGATCATAAGGGTTAATCTGATACAGTCTGGATTTTATTATTCCCCATTTCTATATAATTATTTAACTTGGTATAGAACAAATATCTCAACCAATTATATCTAAAACCATAAGCTCCCACTTGATATCATTCCCTATTTCATTTTAGGAGAGTGAGGATGATCGTGTGAACTTCTGCCAGTTTGTGCGTGTACTGGCTCACTTCCGTCCAATTAAGCGAACGCAGGACAACAAACTTAATGCACGAGAAGAGAAGCTGCGATGTAAGTATTGAGTCAACTGTTTGAAGTAGAGGTGTCAAGTTGGTGTCATACAATGATCACCAAAAAGGAAAAAAGTGGCTACAAACTATGTACTTAAGAGGACAAGAGAAATAATAAGCAAAGAATCTCAAAACATTTTTAAACAAGAGTTAAATACGTTGCAGAAGGTGTTTTGATAATTTGGTTAATGAAAGTATCATTTGAATAATTTGTTCAGCAAATGTATCCCAAGGCTTAATTTTATGTTATCCAAACATAAAACAGTACAAAGTGACTGCAAAGGGTAAGAAAATGTACTACACTCAGAGTCTTTAAACAGGCTGTTTCTAAGCCATATTAGCCTATATATATTGAAGTACCAATGTGCTGCACAAGAATTAGTGAACTCAACTATTAAATATTACTTGATGACCTAAAAGAGATTGGAACCTCTCTAACAGTAATGTTAAATTTAGATATAATTTTAGTCCTGTTAGATAATGTATTGAAAAAGAAATTGAAAAGAAAAGGATAAGCGCATGTGCATTTTTGTTTACTAAATAAATGTATTGGAACACTCGTAACTCAGTTTTGATAGGAACCCCCAGTGCCATATTGAACAACGTGTCTGGGTGCAAGCAGAGTTAGCTGGTCAAGGGAAATATCAGAAGTACAGGGAACATAAAATTACCTGGCTCTCTAGGCTCTTGTCTGCACCATAAACAATATTTTAAGTACATAGGGTATTTCTCTTGTGTGGATGCAAACAGTGCAAAACAACACACACACAGAAACACAACAGGAACAACGAAGGGAAGGGCAAGAAAACACACGAATATGCCAAAGGCCTTTTCGATATTGCTTTGACAGGGCATACAACATATGTATGCCCTGTCAAAGCAATAGTGAAAAGGCCTTAGGCATATTCGTGTGTTTTCTTGCCCTTACTTTATTTTATTGTTCCTGTTGCAATCTGTTCACCATGAATTCCCCACACACAAACACACACACACACACACACACACACACACACACACACACAACACACACAACACACACACACACACACACACACACACACACACACACACACACATACACATGCACGCACGTACACACACGCACACACACACACACACACACACACAACACACACACACACACACACACACACACACACACACACCACACACATACATACACATGCACGCACGTACACACACACGCACACACACACACACACACACACACACACACACACACACACACACACACACACACACACACACACACACACACACATACACATGCACGCACGTACACGCACGTACACACACCACACACACACACACACACATGCACGCACGTACACGCACGTACACACACACACACACACACACACACACACACACACACACACACACACACACACACACACACATACACACACACATACACATGCACGCACGTACACACACACGCACACACGCACACACACACACACACACACACACACACACACACACACACACACACACACACACACACACACACACACACACATACACACACACATACACACACACACACACACACACACACACACACACACACACACACACACACACACACACACACACACACACACACACACACCAAACACACACACACAAACACACACACAAAACACAAACACACACACACAAACACTCACACTCACACTCTCACACACTCACTCATCCTATCCCTTTCTCATCCTCTCTCTCCTTCACATATTTGCTATGAATAATATCTAATCAGATATAATTTTTCTTGCAGTTGCCTTCAAAATGTACGACTTGGATGATGACGAACGAATCTCTCGTGAGGAGCTCCTGGCTGTACTGCACATGATGGTCGGGGAGAACATTAGGTAAGATATTCTTTAAAGCTATTGACTTAAGAAGCATCATTATTTTATTATGAATATGTGATTAGATATTACTAATGAAAGTCAGAACAGAAATTTTGTTTGAATATATTTGGGAGTGTAATCAACAGCTAAGTGTAGAAGTTAATTTTTACATATTTTACTAACTTCAGAGATTGCTTATGATTTTTATTTTAAAAACTTTACAAGTTATAGCAAAAATGAATTTGTAGGAAAAGGAAGTTTTGTCTCATTATCAAAACATTTTCTCATATTTCTTATTTAATTGCTTTTTCATGCTAACCACACATAACATTTCTTGGTGTAATAGCTTCATTTAACCCTTTACTACAGCGATGAGCAGCTAAACAGCATCGCAGAAAGGACCATCCTTGAGGCAGATCGTGATGGAGACCAGATGATCAGTTTTGAAGAATTCTGCACAGCTCTAGAACGCACTGATGTGGAGCAGAAAATGTCAATCAAGTTCCTCAAATAATTATATCGATGTTTTTCTGTGTGTCCATGAAAATATCAAAAATGCATTTTCAGGGGAACGTACATAGCATTCACAAAAAGTTGCAATGGAACAAAAGTTTGAATAAATAAATCATATATATATATATATATATATATATATATATATATATATATATATATATATATATATATATATATATATATATACTCACACACACACACATACATATACACACACAGTTTGTATATACTTGGTTTGGTATTTGTGTATTTTGCCTTAACAAAAGGAATACAACTATTAAAATGATAATAACAGTATTTTGTGATGTGGCAGTAGAGATAAAATTTACATGGGTGAATCAAGCAAGTATTAGGAGGGTATTTAGTAATAGAGCTGCACTGTGTACTCTACATATTTTCAAGTAGAATGAATAATGAGGTTTTTCGTGATTGTTCAGCTGAGAATCCGCACAAAATTAAGGTTGTTATGATAAAAGACAGAGAGCAATTCAAGTCAACGAAACTCGTATTTTCTGTTAGGTATCATAGATTATATATAGCAGAATTTTACCATACTAACGAGATCACTTTTGGTAAGCAATCACGCTATTAGGTGGCCTTATATAAAGTTAACTTGCACAAACAAAAATTAGTCATGTTTGTGTTCACAAGAAACAAAATCAATCATTATGTGTTGTTCTTAGCATCATTAAGGTATTGGCATACCAGTTCTCCAGACCTTTGGTAAAACAATGAAAGGTATGCCACTAACAATAAAATTTAGTTAATTCTAATGATAAGCATAGTCGGTAAAGTTGTATGCATTTTATTTGAAATAACTGTTGAACTAAAAGGAATCTTAGATGTTGGATGCATTTTTTGTGGTAATTCCATACTTTTCAATAATTTCTTATCTCATCTTTGTTCCCTTCTTTATTTTTGTAATTTCGTTTCCATAGAATGTCAGCAGCATGTACTTCAGCGTTTTGTGTTTGTTTTTGTTTTTGCATAGTTTGTCTCCCCCTTGAATTTGAATTGATATTATATAAGAAATTATATAAAGGAGTCTACATATTTACTGTTGAATAGAAATATATACATATACGTGTGTTTTGTGTTAGCTTTACAATGAGAGTATGATGACGTTTTATCATTTCTCAGTTTTATTGATTTTTGTTGCTGCTCCTCTAATAATCAGGCCTGTTTGTATTTTATATTATTTGTGA